ACCCGCATTCTGAACATAGTCTGAATTTTTTTCTTTGTCAGGGCAGTTGTTTTTGTAATGACCATATCTATAGCAGTGCATGCATTGCACTATTGTTGTAAATCGTTCAGGTTCGATCTGTTTGGGGCTAATGAATATGTTGAATAGGTATAAAACTTTTTCTTGGCATTGGCAGCCGTGTGATGGTCGGAGAATTTTATTATCATCAGTTAGCGGTTCTTCATGATGAAGATATTTCCAATTTGGTTGGGTTGGAAATGTTTCTCCAATTCTTTTATATTTTCTGGTGCCTCTTTTACGAGGTCTCTGGCTAGCTGTTTTAGGACCAAGGTTAGTTTCGCTTTTAGTTCTGGGGGCATCTGTGGTTCAAACCCCCGTCCCTTCTTGAGGAGGCTGTAGATGTCGTGTGGGTGTTCCTGTGGTTGGTCAGTGGGGACCCTTTTCAGGGACCTAACCATATCCCTACTCACTGAAGTTTTTATGGAGACCTGAGGTTTCCCTGACCCTGCAGCCTTGACCCTCTGAAGAAGAAGAACCGGTGGAGTTCTCCGGTACCTCTTAAGAATCGAGGCTTTGTACTTGGTAATGCTCCCTGGTCCCAATCTGCTACAAGGGGGCTGGGGCTGCACTCCTCCCCCAGGCGAATACTAGAGTCACAAGAACTCTCGTAGGCCCAGGAGGAGTTGTTAAAATCCCAGCATAGTATTTTCTTTGGTATTGCTGGTTGGAAGGTATGGTTCATTTTTTTCGCCTGCTAGGGATTATCATAGTAGGTGTGGGCCCACTATGATAGCCTATTGCTGGTGAGACCCTCGCCTGCCTCCCTTCCAGCTCCTAGGAGCTGAGAGCGAGGTTCAGTGGGTCACTCTTTTGTTTATTGACGAACAACACGGGACATAACAACACGAGAACATATAGGTGAAACATGGTAATAAGTAAAAACAAACGAAAAAGATGTAGGTGGTGGCGATGATAATGGGTCCATGAGGGGTGTCTATTTCGATGGCCATGAGTTCTGAGGTGAAAGTGTCGAGTATTTTGTGTTTGATTTGTTGTTTAACGGCAATGGCTATACCGTCATTAACCTCGTTTGTTTTGTTGGATGTGTATGTGTTGTAATTAAATATTTTTACTGTTTGTGGTTGTTGAAGTGAGTGTGAGTTTATGAGTATGATGTCAGGGTCGTGTTGTCTGTATTGGTTGCGGAGTTCTTGTCTTCGTCTGTATGTCCATGTGTGTACATTGTGTTGGATGATCGTGAGGCGTGAGTGTAATGTGGTGTGTGTTGCAGCCATGGTGTTACTTGGATGTGTCGTACCAGACATTGTGTAGGTGTTCAAAGTTTGGTTGTTTGAGTCTTTCAATCATGTCTGGCTGGATGAAGATGTTTCCTGCATGTAGTTGTGTAATTTTTTGTTCGTGAATGCGGTTTTGGTATGTGGTATTTATGTATATCCATTTGACTGTACCGCGTTGTATTTCGTGTGCCAGTTGTTGTTTGTTTAAGTGTTTGTAGCGTGGGGGCTCCATGGCGAAGAGGCGGATGCCATATGTTTTTGGGTTGAGGTCGTAACCGTCCCTATGGCGAAGGGACTGATCATCGACCTCGGAGTCTGTAAGATCGTCTGTGTGTTTTCGGTGGACATGTGTTGTTTTGGGTTTCACTGATTGTGTTTGTTGTGGTTTTGGCTGTTGTGGTGATTGTTTGTGCGTGTCTGTTTTGGGTGTACGTGGTCGTGCAGGCGATTGTGTGGGTGTGGGAGTTGGTGTAGGATTTGGTGTTGGTGTTGGTTTTCTTGGTGGTGGTGCAGTGAAGAGTTCAGTCTCAGGCTCGTCCTGTGGGTCGAGATCTGGTTGGCGTGGTGAGATGGTGGAGTGTGTGATTGTGGTCTATGTGGTGGTGTTCAATGTGTTTGGTGGGAGAACCTTGAAGATCCCCCAGGAGTCTCCGTTCCCGAGGTCGAGATCTGGTAAATTATTATTTTTTCAATACTTTTTGGTGTGGTGCCTGAAAACCTAGGCCTGGCTCCATAGTGTTTTGTAGGTGGGCATGTATGAGTGCCGTCATAATTCCTACTGACAGGTTGTCTGGTAGTTGTAGTATGATCGGTGCTTCTTCTTTGTCTTTTTCCTTCTCCTCCTTTATCTCCTTTATCAAGGGTTTTAGCCATGCATTCTGTGTAGCTGCAATACTTCGTTTGGCCGTTTGCTCAGCCACTCTTTTTAACAGAATTTCCATCTTTTCTTCTTTTTTAGAATTCTCCTCCCTTGTCTTTTCTATGGCTTCCTTCCTTATGGGGCAGGAGTTTGCCAGGGTTCGGCGTCCTTCATCTCAGTTTAGGAACCTTTTTGTTTCGGACTTGCAGTCTTTATAGTTGTGGGTGTTAGACCCGCATTCTGAACATAGTCTGAATTTTTTTCTTTGTCAGGGCAGTTGTTTTTGTAATGACCATATCTATAGCAGTGCATGCATTGCACTATTGTTGTAAATCGTTCAGGTTCGATCTGTTTGGGGCTAATGAATATGTTGAATAGGTATAAAACTTTTTCTTGGCATTGGCAGCCGTGTGATGGTCGGAGAATTTTATTATCATCAGTTAGCGGTTCTTCATGATGAAGATATTTCCAATTTGGTTGGGTTGGAAATGTTTCTCCAATTCTTTTATATTTTCTGGTGCCTCTTTTACGAGGTCTCTGGCTAGCTGTTTTAGGACCAAGGTTAGTTTCGCTTTTAGTTCTGGGGGCATCTGTGGTTCAAACCCCCGTCCCTTCTTGAGGAGGCTGTAGATGTCGTGTGGGTGTTCCTGTGGTTGGTCAGTGGGGACCCTTTTCAGGGACCTAACCATATCCCTACTCACTGAAGTTTTTATGGAGACCTGAGGTTTCCCTGACCCTGCAGCCTTGACCCTCTGAAGAAGAAGAACCGGTGGAGTTCTCCGGTACCTCTTAAGAATCGAGGCTTTGTACTTGGTAATGCTCCCTGGTCCCAATCTGCTACAAGGGGGCTGGGGCTGCACTCCTCCCCCAGGCGAATACTAGAGTCACAAGAACTCTCGTAGGCCCAGGAGGAGTTGTTAAAATCCCAGCATAGTATTTTCTTTGGTATTGCTGGTTGGAAGGTATGGTTCATTTTTTTCGCCTGCTAGGGATTATCATAGTAGGTGTGGGCCCACTATGATAGCCTATTGCTGGTGAGACCCTCGCCTGCCTCCCTTCCAGCTCCTAGGAGCTGAGAGCGAGGTTCAGTGGGTCACTCTTTTGTTTATTGACGAACAACACGGGACATAACAACACGAGAACATATAGGTGAAACATGGTAATAAGTAAAAACAAACGAAAAAGATGTAGGTGGTGGCGATGATAATGGGTCCATGAGGGGTGTCTATTTCGATGGCCATGAGTTCTGAGGTGAAAGTGTCGAGTATTTTGTGTTTGATTTGTTGTTTAACGGCAATGGCTATACCGTCATTAACCTCGTTTGTTTTGTTGGATGTGTATGTGTTGTAATTAAATATTTTTACTGTTTGTGGTTGTTGAAGTGAGTGTGAGTTTATGAGTATGATGTCAGGGTCGTGTTGTCTGTATTGGTTGCGGAGTTCTTGTCTTCGTCTGTATGTCCATGTGTGTACATTGTGTTGGATGATCGTGAGGCGTGAGTGTAATGTGGTGTGTGTTGCAGCCATGGTGTTACTTGGATGTGTCGTACCAGACATTGTGTAGGTGTTCAAAGTTTGGTTGTTTGAGTCTTTCAATCATGTCTGGCTGGATGAAGATGTTTCCTGCATGTAGTTGTGTAATTTTTTGTTCGTGAATGCGGTTTTGGTATGTGGTATTTATGTATATCCATTTGACTGTACCGCGTTGTATTTCGTGTGCCAGTTGTTGTTTGTTTAAGTGTTTGTAGCGTGGGGGCTCCATGGCGAAGAGGCGGATGCCATATGTTTTTGGGTTGAGGTCGTAACCGTCCCTATGGCGAAGGGACTGATCATCGACCTCGGAGTCTGTAAGATCGTCTGTGTGTTTTCGGTGGACATGTGTTGTTTTGGGTTTCACTGATTGTGTTTGTTGTGGTTTTGGCTGTTGTGGTGATTGTTTGTGCGTGTCTGTTTTGGGTGTACGTGGTCGTGCAGGCGATTGTGTGGGTGTGGGAGTTGGTGTAGGATTTGGTGTTGGTGTTGGTTTTCTTGGTGGTGGTGCAGTGAAGAGTTCAGTCTCAGGCTCGTCCTGTGGGTCGAGATCTGGTTGGCGTGGTGAGATGGTGGAGTGTGTGATTGTGGTCTATGTGGTGGTGTTCAATGTGTTTGGTGGGAGAACCTTGAAGATCCCCCAGGAGTCTCCGTTCCCGAGGTCGAGATCTGGTAAATTATTATTTTTTCAATACTTTTTGGTGTGGTGCCTGAAAACCTAGGCCTGGCTCCATAGTGTTTTGTAGGTGGGCATGTATGAGTGCCGTCATAATTCCTACTGACAGGTTGTCTGGTAGTTGTAGTATGATCGGTGCTTCTTCTTTGTCTTTTTCCTTCTCCTCCTTTATCTCCTTTATCAAGGGTTTTAGCCATGCATTCTGTGTAGCTGCAATACTTCGTTTGGCCGTTTGCTCAGCCACTCTTTTTAACAGAATTTCCATCTTTTCTTCTTTTTTAGAATTCTCCTCCCTTGTCTTTTCTATGGCTTCCTTCCTTATGGGGCAGGAGTTTGCCAGGGTTCGGCGTCCTTCATCTCAGTTTAGGAACCTTTTTGTTTCGGACTTGCAGTCTTTATAGTTGTGGGTGTTAGACCCGCATTCTGAACATAGTCTGAATTTTTTTCTTTGTCAGGGCAGTTGTTTTTGTAATGACCATATCTATAGCAGTGCATGCATTGCACTATTGTTGTAAATCGTTCAGGTTCGATCTGTTTGGGGCTAATGAATATGTTGAATAGGTATAAAACTTTTTCTTGGCATTGGCAGCCGTGTGATGGTCGGAGAATTTTATTATCATCAGTTAGCGGTTCTTCATGATGAAGATATTTCCAATTTGGTTGGGTTGGAAATGTTTCTCCAATTCTTTTATATTTTCTGGTGCCTCTTTTACGAGGTCTCTGGCTAGCTGTTTTAGGACCAAGGTTAGTTTCGCTTTTAGTTCTGGGGGCATCTGTGGTTCAAACCCCCGTCCCTTCTTGAGGAGGCTGTAGATGTCGTGTGGGTGTTCCTGTGGTTGGTCAGTGGGGACCCTTTTCAGGGACTTAACCCTATCCCTATTCACTGAAGTTTTAGGTTTATGGAGACCTGAGGTTTCCCTGACCCTGCAGCCTGACCCTCTGAAGAGGAAGAACCGGTGGAGTTCTCCGGTACCTCTTAAGAATCGAGGCTTTGTACTTGGTAATGCTCCCTGGTCCCAATCTGCTACAAGGGGGCTGGGGCTGCACTCCTCCCCCAGGCGAATACTAGAGTCACAAGAACTCTCGTAGGCCCAGGAGGAGTTGTTAAAATCCCAACGTATTGGGACTTCTTGCTCTACTAAGACAATTTAAGGTATCAGCCAATTTAAGATTTTAAGAAATGTACCTGTTTAAGAAATTTAGGGTATTTTTATCTTGAATAATTTAAGAAATCTATATATCAATATTTCTTGATTTTGTTCTTGGATTCAAGACATATATTTCTTTTGTTTTGAAAACTAGGTTACGGTGATCGGAAACATTAGTATAGCTGTTGCACTTAAAGATATATTCTAATTTAAGCACTACAATCAATTAGGTCCACAAGCAATAAATATTTTTGTTATTTCTATGTCTCATGGGCAATGGCATGTCTCTAAAAGAGCATGAATAGGGCAGTGAAGCGTCCTTTCCGTCCATTAGCTTCCAGGGCACCCATGGGCAAGGTGTAGCACCTGTTTGCCTCCCATGCTAGGGTACAGCTTTTAGGGAAAAATAAAGTGGACACTAATGAAATAGAAGTTTTATTAATCCGCTCGATTTGAAATGAAATGTCATATAACAAATTTGTGAAGAGTTGATACATATAAACAAAACAATAAATTTACAGGGGGTCGATGTAAACTTGCAATGGCCCAATTCATTTCCAAAGCTAGTAAATGACCATCTTTGCAATGACGTCGCCAAATGATGTATGTAGCATGACATACATACATATATATACACTCACAAATCCACACACACACAAATGCACTCACAAATCCACACACGCGCACATATACACATATACGAATGCAAACACAAATCTACACACACATTAATTCATACGTGCAAACACACACACACACAAATATACACAAACACACAAATATGCATACAAACTCATACATATATATATTTATATATATATGTGTGTGTGTGTGAGCAATCACACTTATACATACATGCATACATACATGCAACCATACATATACATAGCACACACACAGAAACACACACGCACATACAATATATATATATATATATATATATATATATATATATATATATATATATATATATATATATATATATATATATATATATGTACACACAATGTGTGTAGATAGACACGTTTATTATATATATAAATATATATATATATATATATATATATATATATATATATATATATATATATATATATATACTTATACATATACATATATATATACATACATACATATATATGTATGTATACTATATATATCTTTCATATTAGAATATATATGTATACATATACGTATGTATATATACATATGTATACATATATTTGTGTGTTTATATACATACATGTACACAAAACCTTGTAAGTATACTGTATACTTGTATTTATAAGTGTGTGTATATGCATGCAAACATACACATATATATTATATATGTAACCAAATCTATGTATCTGCATCTATCTATCTATCTATCTATCTATCTATCTATCTATCTATATATATATATATATATATATATATATATATATATATATATATATATATATATATATATATATAATCTATGTGACCATATAAAAATATATTTATATATATAGACATATATATTGTGTTTTTTTATCCATCATGCTAAACTAAATGCACATTTAAACTTCTCATTAAGTGAGTAAATTATAGTATACCTTTACAGAAATTCCTTTCTTTTTCTACAAATGTTCTATGCACACATGGTACAGTATTAGTAGGGTGATCTTATAAATACTTAAAATAGTGTGGTATTGTCCATAAACAAGTATTTTTCCTCTAGGCCTCATTACTTGTTGTAGTTCCCATCTATCCTCTCTCCTTCAACTCTCTTCCACATTTCCCCCTAACCTCTCTACCTTATTTCAATATATCTGGTCCCGTCACTAACGTTCAAATATTAAAATTAACTTAAATAAAAATGGCCCCCGCCATGAAGAAGCAGATATTCCGCAGCTACTCTTCCACGCCATAGTTCCGGTGGAGACTCGCCACTTCGTGCCCAAGTATGATGACCCAGTCTACAGTTCGCGCTCTGTCACCGTTCCGTACATATATATATATATATATATATATAGATATATATATATATATATATATATATATATATATATATATATATATATATATATATATGCGTGTGTGTTTGTGCATATATATATATATATATATATATATATATATATATATATATATATATATATATATGCATGTATATATATGTATGTATGTTTGTACAGTACATACATAAACTACTAATTCAAGTGCCGCAATACTGTAATCCAATAGTATAGTATAATACTGTAATACTGATTTTGGGAAAAAATACATTGCTACCGGAGCATGTATTAATGACATAAGAAAGAAAATACAAACATATATATAATTCAATACAGGTGGAAATACACAGACACAAGAGAGTTTAGTAAATAGAGGTGAATTAAGTGAATCTTACATCACAAAACACTGAGCTAATAAGTACTACTTTAATGAGCATTAAGAAGAGGATAGAGTAGCACAGTTACGTAAATTTTATAGTAGCATTTCAGAGAGTTGGACCATGACACACTGGAAATGATAATTTGGACTGAGAATTAGGACCCAAGATACTACATGTAATTCCTCTTTGAGTTATATACTTGTGTTAAAGTGAGGCAGACCAGAAAGCTCCCCAAATGATTTACTCATATGTAAAATGTGTACGAACCTGAGTATAGAATATTTGTAGTAGGGTATTTTTTATTTTTTTATTATTATTATTATTTTTTTTTTGGTAAATATGTCCTATTTGTAAATTAAATTTAAATGTTAATTTGTTCATATGTGTTTTCCAGTTTAACAGAAAATGCCAAGGGCTTAGTGTGTATAACTCTACTAATTGGAACATCTGTGATGGTTACATAAGGGTGAGCAATAGGCATGTCTGTTTCTATGGAAAATCATATACTGTGTCTTTTCAAAATTCAAAGTAAGTTTTAGTTGCCCATTTTCAGATATCTGTTATTTTAGTGTTTGTAGTTTTCAATATTTATTGAATTGTCTCCGGAAGTGTAACAACAAGGATCAAGGATCATTGTGCTTGCATTAGCTATATCATTAATATGTAATAGGAATGAAGTGGACCCAGGATAGAACCCTGTGGAACTCTGTCTTAATATTCCTTGAGAGGAGTTATAGTTATTAAAACTGTATATTGTGTACGGTATGACAAATACAAAGCGAAGCAGGCACAATATAATACCTGTAATACCTTAATGGTATAACTTTGCTAAAATAATGTGGTAGTTGAAAATACCAAAAGCTTTAAAAAAAAAGTCGAAGAATGTAGCAAAAACAAATTTACGATCATCAAAAGATTCCATTTATTGAGTCTGAGACAGTTATATCAGTTGATTTTTTCTTCTAGAAGCCGTATTGATGATTGTTTTGCCATTTTGACTTGCATTTCGAATTGTCTGTTTCCATGCGGTTTCGTAGAGACCGAGGTGTCCCGCCATAAGAGAGCATATTTCTTTTGAGGTTTATTTTCTATCCTTAGATGAGGTTCTCGGATGTGAGATATGTTTGGAGGATTTTGGTTTCAGTGACTGAAAGGCTGATAAAATTTCCATTAGTTACGTCGGGATTACGAGAAGCGTATTTGATTTTGGTGACTTTTAGAATTGCTTATTTGGAACTCACTGTAGTCGCAAATATAAAATGTTTTATTGGTTTTGGGTTCATTATACAAGTCTAGGTTAAAAATAAAGAAAACTGTAAAGTGATCTGTTACACTGAAATATATAACTCTTCCTTGTGATCTAGGAGCTTTAGTGGTTGCCAGCGAAAGAGACTAAAATTAAAGAGGAATACGATTTCCAAAACCTTATTATCAGAATCAACCTTAATGAGGTCTAAGCAATAATCCCTGGTTAAGAGACACATTTTGTTTTCCTGTTATGTTGTGTCGATTATATGTTCTATTAATGTCTTCATTTACTTATCAATTCAAAGATTGGTTTGTAAATTCACTGGATTTTTTCGACAATTCATTTAATCTTCATTTTTTTTTCAGTTTATGAACCATAGGATTTTTTTTCCCGTTTTTTTCCAGTGGCTTATTTATTCATCAGTGAATTCGATCAGATTGTCATTTGACTCATTCTAGGATTCGTTCATGCTTTCAGGAGGTTATTCGAAGATTCACTGGTTTATTCATTCGAGCATTTATTTTTAGTCTTTCAGTGACTTAGTTATTCTCTAATTTAGTCAGTTGGTTAATTCATGCGGGGCCATTCAGTCAGTTAGCGGTTTATTCATTTTCTAATTCCGTCTGTCATTTGTTGCGAGTGTGTTCGCTCCCTAGTCTTGGAAATGTTTACTTATTAACATAAAAAAAATAAAAGAAACAAGACTTGGCACAAACTTCACATGTTACGTTCACAGAGAAACAGGTGAAAAACTTCCCACCAATCGATATACAGATAGTACCATCGAAGATTGTAAAGAGGATAACATGACTTGATTCTCTCTCTCCTTTGATTCCTCTTCTGCTATCTTGTCCTCAAGCTCCTTCGAACCAATCCCCT